ACAGGAGTCGAAAAGCAGCAAATTATCCCCCCTCTGCTTAACATTAAAGGCACGGCATTGTATTTTACTGAAGGGGGGGAGGAATCAGTTGCGCATTGTCGATTGAACTGTTCTTGCGAGTGATTTGTATTTAGGCAAGTTAACAACTGTTTCGAGGCTAGTACCCACCGAGCCTTATAACGTAAATAATTCTGGAGGCTTTAATGTTGTTTTTGTTTGTTTCATAGCACGTTTAAAGCCGTAATTTTGCAGTTTTATACCAGGTTTTGAAAAAAAACTTGATCCTCAAAAAAAACTCGGTATTTAAAAATTTAACCTGTTTAAGGGGTTATGTTTTTGTTCCACTGGGTTTTCTCCAGCGTATTTCCCTCCACAAAGTTTTTGAACAATTTACTAACTTTTAGGTTTTTCCTCTCATGGAATCTTTTCCTGGTCACATTCTCCAAATCTGATGACCATTTTATCTGCGATGGTGCAACAGAATCTTTATATGGTCTTTTTACGCATCGCCACTTGGATTGATCACTTATTTCGTTGTGGCGGTCTAGATTGAACTTCAAGTCAAACAAAGCAATCCTCTAAGAACTATACCTGGTTAAGTTTTTCTTCGGAAGCCATCTTCTGGAGCGTGCATAGAATCAAAGCAATGCTCTAGAGACGAGTCGAAACTTCCATAAACCGTTATAAACATCAATGAATGCCGTTAAAATTCAACGAAGCTACAACAACCTACAGAAAATAATGCTCGAGACCATATGATATATTCAAGACTGTTTTGAAAGATTCCGTTCTCAGTAGCTTTTAAGATAACACGATGAATCTTTATATGGTCTTTTTACGCATCGCCACTTGGATTGATCACTTATTTCGTTGTGGCGGTCTAGATTGAATTTTCTTCCACCGTAGACAAGTTGCTGTTTTCCTTACTCACTCATGACCAATTTTAAAAGCATATTGGTATCAGTAAGTGTAAGGGTTTGCAAGATAAAAATTGAAACTATTTATTCAAAGAAAAGTTGTTTTAGATGCTAGCAAATTTTAATTATACTTATCTTTTCTGCTAATTCATTCCAGTTTGGTATTTAAATCAAAACTGGCACTAAATTGAAAATTTTGATCCCTCGCTGAATTTTGATTACCACAGAACCACCGTAAAACTAAACTTGTAATCAAAAATTTGTGTTGCTGCTAATTTTCGCTTACTACGAATTGACGCCTTTGCGAACTGCCGCTTTTTGAAAAAACTGCGAACCGCCGCTCGCTACAAATTATCGCTTGCAACGAATTGTCGCCCCAAGATTACCCACACGCTGAATAAAGCAGAGAAAAACATACTGAGTAACTGATGCTGAAATTTTTTGAATAATTGAATATGCTGCTTATGCTATATCAGGATGAATTATATCGCGCGTTAATAACTTCTAATTGGCCAACTTGGCAATTTTCGAACCCCATAACTTCTTTCTCTAATGTATTTAAAGGTGGCAACCAAAATTATACCATTTTTGAACTCCATGTAGCATGATATATTCAAGACTGTTTTGAAAGATTCCGTTCTCAGTAGCTTTTAAGATAACACGATGTATCAAATATTACTACTGGGAGGCACTTTTTTGTGCAAAATTAAAAGTTCAAATCTGTTATAAGCCGTGATCGAAATCGGCCAAGAAAATTTTCGAATCACAACGAGGCGCACTGATTGTTATAAGCTTTGCAATACTAATCTGATTATAGCTCTTAAAACTATTATTATTGTGGGAGATGATTTTCAGAGACAAGTTTGAAAAACAATTTCTACCCTTTTTTCTAAATGATCACTATATTTGAATAAGTTTAAAGTGCAGTCGGATCATTCAAGGTGTGATACTGATTAAAGCAGTCTCGTTCAGTTTTAAAATCAATCTTGCAGACATTCCTGGCATTCTTGTTACCAAAAGTTTATCGTTTTACCATACGGTCACGGTATAAAAAGTTAGCAAGAAAAAACGCATAAAACATTAGTCTTAAGATCTATATAATTAGATTCGGACGGACAACAGTATAATGAGCTTAACTCCGGGTGGCTTTCTCATAAAGTGTTTTCGTATAGGGTACAACGTCTCTTCGTCACGCTATCTTATTTTCGGCCGGATAGATTCGTGCAACCTCTTAGTCTAATACCAATCATAATCTTACTCTTATACTTCCTTGTCTCAGTATATCTAGTATATACTGGTACCTTGCAAGGTTAGAGGAGAGGAAGCAACTACTTTCTAAGTTAAATTTGTTCTTCTCTGGCCGAAACTATAAATAGTTTCAAACATAAAAATTTTTGTAAGTTTTAGTCATAGATCATGATTGGTTAGTTCTAGTTATTTTACAGTGATATTTATCAAGCATAAAATAGGATAAATAAAATATTTTTTTTTCAAGGGTTATGATTAAATTACTGAATTAAATTTAGACAAATATAATAATTCACGTAATAATCACCATAAAAAATAAGTATTTACTATGTATAATTTTATCCAAAACTAAAAATAGCAGAGTCGTGTCAAGGCGTGTCAAAGGAAGTCATGTGATATACTCTATTAAAGCTGTTGCACTAAGCTTTGATGGAAAGTTTGAAATCATCCCAAAAACAGATTTTATAAGAAAATAAAACGACCGGACTAATTAGGGCTTTTAGAACAGTTTTGATAGCTTTCACAGTTATCTCAGTTGTTTTAATTGAGATCATAGCATTTGTTTGATAATTTATATTAAAATTCCGACAAATACTACTATTAGGGCAAAATCTTGAATACTTCAATTGCTCTCAAACCCCTATTGAATAGTTTTTCAAAAAAAAATGATGAACTTTCAAAAACAAAAGTATCATTTTCCTCAAAAATACAAAGCAACGGAAAATAGGAAAAGTCAAAATTGACAACTGCTTGTCGTTAAATACCTTAGTTATGCGTGTTTTTCACCGCCTCGGTCTATTTAGTTAATTTTAGTCATTTTTAGGGCATGCAAGTGCAAAGCAGTTTTCGGTCACCTTTTGAACGGAACTTACTTACTTTCGTTTCCATATAGATTAAACACATAGCTGGTTATGAAAACCTGTTTCTGACTAAACACTTGGTCAAAAACACAATATTAGGACTGCTACATGTCGACTCTATAAGAGATGGGTTGACATTTCCTTTCCCTCAACTACTCAAGCTCTGGAATATATCGTTGAGATGGGTTATATTACTTTTCAGGGCATTCCATAGGTAAAAGATAAATTTTGTGTCAGAAAAATTGTTGAGTTTCAAAGCCTCCAAATGTATGAAACCGATCAGACAAAAATACCTTTTCAATTTTTTTGGGTCGAGAGAGTGTGGATTTGTTCCGAATCAACCACTGAACCGTCTCTTCCAGCACTTGAAGAGCTAACTTTCGTATCGTACGAGTTTTCCTTTTCCGATACTATTGTTTTTCTCGTATTTTCCACATAACTTCTGAACGTCTGTTAACGCTAATTCGACTGTTGTGCTGTTTCTGCGGTTTTAGTTCTAATTATGGTTGTATCTAACAGTTTTGAGAAACGTTAGGTCGCTACTCAAATTTTTAATTATTCCATTTCCAGAATATTTATTCAACTTTCAACACTAAGTCATCATTTTCTCGTGTTTTCCAAAGGTCCGAATTTTTCTTCTGGCAAAATGACGCCAAAATTGAGAACAAATTTCAACAGTCATTATGAGACCAAGTTGTGCATTTTGTGAATTTAATTTGATTCCGCAACAGAATTTTTGCGGAAACCGCAAAACTGCTATTTTTCTATCTTGTTTGCTGCTTAGGATTCCACGGACAAATAGCTAAAACTCTGCATTGCTCAAAGTTGCTTTCAAAAATAGCAGTTTTGGGGAATCTGCAACAATATGCGGAATCTGGAACAATTTGTGGAATCCACAACCAAATATAATTATATGTGTATAATGTTTAATAAACTTAAGTTGTCGTGGAATCTGCAACTCTTAGTGGAATCCGCAAATTGTAAGTCGATTCCGCAAACTGCAAGCGGAATCCGCAAGTTGTAAGTGGAAACCGCATAAGTTTGCGGAATCCACTTAATTTGCGGAATCCGGAACAACTAGCTGTTTTCTCTCGTTGCGAAATCCGCAACAAAACATAACTTGCCGACAAAATTTACGTTACAAATTTTTGTCTCCAGATTCTAGTGACCTATAAAAAAGAAACCAAATTGAGCGCCTATCCAGTGCACAGTTTGGCTTCGTAAAATGACTCCTAAAATTTTGTAAAACATTATACAGTTTTGCTCTCCCAAAACACTATAAGAACTTTTTTTGAACAAACCTTTTTTGCAGGCAATTTTTTGAAATAAAAAAGCCAAAAACCAATTTTTTGGTACTTTTTCGAAAATTTGGAGCAAACTATCGCGTTTTGATTTTCAGTACCTTCCTCAAAGTTAATCCTTTTTGTGGCGCGCAAAAACGGCCAACATTTCAAGAGTTTTTTTTTCTATTTTGTGATGTAGAAAAGTATTTAGCCAGAACAGCTGCTAAAAATATCATTGAATCTTTTGATTTGAATCTCTTAGGATAATTAGTCGGAGAAATTGTTTTTAATTTGTGTCAACAATTTTTTTCTAGACAAGCTACTTTGAATCAACAATTGTAGCAGGTTAGTGAGCGATGGCGAGGAGCTTTTTCAGTGTGACAGATCGTTGCGTTTTTTACTCATCGCAAAAAGATAAGACCGTTTTCAACAGCTCCAAAATTCCCAAAAATGAAGTTGTGTCTTTCTTTTTGCATAGATAAGTTGTATAAGAGCTCAATGTATCGATATTGGCCAAAATATTGATGATTTGATGTTTAAACAATTCAATTGATCATCATATTTAAAATTTCAAATTCGTGATCATCAGAACAATAACTTATGACTCTATTTGATAATGATGAAATCTACACCCCCACATCTGCTGGAAAACAAATTTAGCTTAGAATTCATTTGATCATTAAGTTGTTGGTATTTTCAACGACCTGCTGTTTGGATATTTTCCTGTCAAACAATTAATGAATCTCTTCTATGAAAATCTCGCACATCATCATAAAATAGTTTACTTTTGGAGCTCACTTGTTTTCGGCATTTGGCTTCGTTAACAATATTCACAGCAACTGGCTTGACATACGGTAATTTTTAGTGTTTATCGCTATTGATTTCCATCATTTTTTCAAGGGAGAATTTTTGTTTTGTGAATTTTGAATGACTTTTTGTTACAGATTTCGCGCTATAAATCAATATAAAATAATAGTTTTTGGGTACATTTTCTAGTTTTTCTCAATAACAACAAAAGTCAAAATTACTACAATCAAAGCTATGATAGCTAGTTTTTCGAGTTTTAAATTTGAACAAAAAGTTTTTTGTGATTTTTTTTTCATTCTTTGTTCAGACTAATTTTTGATCACAGACAAACAGCCTGTCTTAATCGTCCACGAACATGGGTGACACCAGAGTACAAATGACCGGTCAGGGAAGCAACTTCCAACAATTCGACCAGTCCACCAAAAATCAGAGAGAAGGTATAAACATAAAATCAGCTAGGTAACACTTGAAAGATAAAATAAAATGTTAAGATAAAATTTGAAACTATCTAAGCAACAATCGCCTGAGCTCATCTCGCATAGTAAGTTTGACTAATTCGTGACCAAAATTAATAAATTAGTATATTTTCATTACCATTTCAGCCACTTTTATTAATGAACTACCACCAAAATCTGCGATGGAACCGATTAATTTCGCAGTATTCGCGATGCTCAATCGTTGATAATCGAGTATTCAAAATTGAAAAAAAAAATTCAAATATGACTGTAGATTGATCTTGTTAAGGTAAAAGTCGAGATAAAAAAATACCGTAAAGTTTTTCGATAAGAGGTCGGGGTGAAACCAAGACTGTTGAGACAAGAAAAAACCACATTTTTAACAAAACTTATCAAAAATTTAGACAAAAAAATGAAGTTTCAACTTGTCTCGAGAGCTTTTCTGTTTCCTTAACGTCAAAATTTGGACAACTTTTGTTCGGAATTTTTGTTTTGTAAACATTTTTGTTGAGAACCGTGGGTTTTCGGTAAACTCGCTGTCTCACTTCTTAAGAAATGCAACTCGATTGAGCTAAGAATTTTTTCCATGCACGTTTTGAGAATTAAGCAATTAATTCAAACAAAGTTGTTAATTCTAAAATCTAATGACGCACAGCTGACCATATTCTAAAATCAAACTAAGCGCAATCTTCTCATGTGCTAATTTTTTCTCTAGTGGAATAAATGGCCTTACGCTTGGTAAGGACTTCAGTTACTTATGTGTCTCAGTGAAATTTAGAATAATCAACCTTCTTCAAACCATTTGTTAACTCACTTGTTTTTTTTTTGTTACAAATTTTGGCAATTGTTTTTTTTATTCATAAAAAAGAGCTATCAAATGTCTCCGGTAATTTCTAGTATTCATCCAAACAAATCAACGAAAATTTTGGTAATACATTTTCTATTTTCTCTGCGACTTTTTTTGTCTCTACAGGTGTTTCTACAGTTTAGCAATGCTCAGTTTGAAGGGGGGACAGTTTATCATCTCCAGAAGCTATGTTGAAAAAATCTGAGCGAAAGTCATTCCATGCGTTCAGTACTATCGACCTGCTTCAGTAGACAGCGCAGTCTTGTGTGGTTATTCTGGTCTCTAATGTGAACAGGTTTCGTTTTGATACTGTTCTTGTTGAACATGTCGGTATATCAGACGAGGGGTTAACAAAGCGATGAAAACCTGTGCCCAACACTATGATGAGATAAGGGAAGTACATCAAACCGGCAAAAAAACCGCCAGGTGGTAGGTCACAGCACATCAGTTTGCAGAAGCGTTTTTGGCAGAAATCTGTTTAGTTGTGTGTCGGTTGTGTGGATGTACCCTGGCAAACCGTACTCAATAATATGCCAAACATACGCCTTGTAGGCGTTTTGTATCCTGTGGCTGTAGGCGGAGGAGCTGAGACGTCTTCAAGGCAGCTCGGCTTACAACTTCCTCAAAATGACATTTCATAGTCAAAATTCTGTCCAGCTGGAGGGCGGTAGTTTCTGGGTTGTTACCAGCGAGTGACCGCTTTGTTGGTTCAATGTAATGCGATGATCTTCTCATCCCTTAGTTGCTGCATCAGCTCTACTGCATACTGTGGATTCAGAAGAATTTCCGATACTGTCGTCCGCAAAAGTGTAAATGCGCGTTGAGTCGTCATTTCCAACAGATGCGCTGCGGATGCCAGATGTGTGCGGATTAGCCAGAGTACGGGGCCCAAACACGTTTCTTGACAGACTCCAGCTGACCTAGAGCGGCTAGCAGACTGAGCACCTTCACGAGAGCAAACTGCCATATCAGTTTGCTATCGGACTCCAGAGAGGTAGTTTTTCATAAGACGCAGCAAGTTACCCAATATTCCAACTTCTTCTATGCGATGAAGAATTATGCTACGATCCAAACTGTCAAACGCGGCTGCCATATCAGTTTGTAGCAAGGTTCACTTCTATTGATTATTGAGAGAAATTATCGCATCTGGCACGACAGTCCACAGAACGTCGACACTGCAACATTCACTTTGAAAAACCTTTGCTCGTCGGGTAGGATGTTAGTGTCTCTTCATTGCTGCCAATACTGTTTGGCGTTTATTTTCTCGAAAATGTGCAACGTTATTTCCAAAAAGTCTATCGGACAAAATTTTATAGGAACCTGATTTCACTTTCTCTTTTCTTGTTGATAGGAACAATGTTGGATTTCTTCCATACTTTTGGCCATCTCTCAGATTAAAACAGTCTTCTGTACACCTAAAACGTCCGCAAGTTCTCTGACAACACAAGGAGATATCTGTGAAGGCCTTCCAGCCTTGAATGAATTGAGCTTCCTAAGAAGTTTTCTAATACTCACAACTTCGATGTCTATAGCAGACAGACTAACGGGTGAGCTAGGGAGAGTCTTATAGTCTCCTCCTCTGGTAAGTTTCATTTTACTTTGGAAGTTAGAGGCAAAGAACTCAGCTTTATCGAGCGGTACGCTAGTAAAACTACCCTTAAACGACAGTAATGGTATGCGAGAGAAGTGGCCGCGAGTTTGAAGGAAAATCGACTTGAGAATATGGAAATACTTCTGACTGGATACAGACATACTGCATAGCTTCGCCTTCAAGTCCTTCGCATAGTTTAACTGAACGTTATGAAAGACGCTCAAGACAATTTGGTGCTTGCTGGGGTCTGCAGTGGCAAGGCAATTATTCAGGGCGCTCTGACGCTTCGAGTTTCATCAGGTTGAGGACGTTCCTTGGAACGCTAATTCTCGTTCGGGAATAAATAACGATAAAGACCCTTTTCTCCAGGTGTTTTCAGGACTTGTCAACAGCTTCAAATTCGAACAAATTATTTTTCCTGTGCTTCAGAAGATGTTTGCATCTGCATCAACCGATTTACCTGATAGCATACCCAATCTGCCCTGAAAGCCGCACATGATAGTGAGTCGACACTGGTGTACAAATTCGGTGTTCGGAGTGTGACCTTCCATTGCAAAGTCTCTGTCTCCCTGCAGATTATCGGTTATATCTTCTGGCCTCATTCCTTCTGATATAAGCTTAATCCGAGCGCAGGGTTCGTTGGCACTTCGCCTGTGTAGAGCCCGTTTGTGTCCATTGTCGTCGCGGAATGTCTGATTCAAACCTTTAAGGAGGTGGGCCTCTAATGGTTTCTTCTAGCCGAGGCAACATGAGATACATGATTAAAAGTTGTGACCAACATTTGACGAAAGTGTTTAAGAGGATCTGGTTTAATAAAAACTTGAAATTAGTTTTTTGTAGTATATGTAACCTATCTTTTCAAAAAGTTTAATCCGAATGTTCCAGTATTATTCTCTGATAATTGCCAGAAAAGCGATAAAAAACTGACCCAGGAACCAGTTGTGTTCTGGTTTCAAATAGAAACAGAAACATGAATTATTTTATTGCGCTCACAAAGTGTGACGCCGCCGCCACCACAAAATAAATATCTTTTTATTCCCTTGCAAAAGGAAGGGAAATGCTATTGGAATAATTCGTATAACGTTTTAAGCATTGAGAATTGAAACGACTATTCTCGTTCAATGCGAATAATAACGATTCCTCTCGTAAAATACGAGCATACGAAACATTCTTCTCGTAAAATACGAATGTACGAATAGAGAATTTGAAGTTAAGAAGTAACTTCTCATTTGATACGAAAAGTGGTACGATTTCCCAACTGAGTATAAATAGAAGCTCAAAACTACGGGAATTCATTCCCAACAATTTCTCTTCTAACACCACAACCTCCCTCTGTAATATCCCAACAATTTCTCTTCTAACACCAACACCACTCTCTTCAACCACCCCAACCATTCTCTATAAAATATCTCCAATCTCACCCTTAAAATAAATATTGAGTCGAAAGGCAACTTGCAGTAAATTCATACTAACTTCTTTTTTTAATAAAAAATTTCTCAGCGAATTTTAGATTTAATTTCTAAGATAGAAAGTAGAAAGGACCCTTTATTCCTAGCAAGCGTTTTGTGCGACGTATATAGATTTGCTAGCGTAATAGTTGACTTAGGATTTAGGAAATATCAATTGAAAACAGGCAAAACTAAAAAAAACCACAAGGAGAATTTTTTGTACAATTTCGTGCGTTCAAAAAATTTTACATAGCGGCCAAAATGTATGCAATTTGAACAAAAAAAATACTTAGCAATTGAAAATATATTTTTTTGACGAATCATGTCATATAGCTGCGGACGTGGTTTACGTAGGAGTCAGGTATATATCGAAAAAACTTGTATTTATCAGCAAGAAACTAACTCTATAAGGTTAGTGGGTTTTTCATTGAACTAATGCGGCGAAACGATTACAATCTGCCTTTGTGTAAAATCTAAGATTGTGTTTCTAAATTTGGCATGCATGGTGATTACCAAGGTCTTGCTCGTCATATAAAACATTGCACAAAAGGGTCAATGCCGATTGCGAGAGATAGTTTAAGAGCCATTTTGATTTCCGTATAGCTTATCCTTTCATCAAACTTGAAAAATTGGAAAATGTTATTAATGTTGTCATATTGCAAAAACAACTTGGCATGGTGAACAAATTAACAATACTCTAATCCATACTTGTTCTTCATACCTTACATCGTAACCTAGCGTATAGCCATAATCACGCGCATAAAGAAATTAGTGAAAAAAATGTAGTTTGTGTAGAAATTGAGCTAAAGTTTTTTTTTTCAATTTTCACCCGAACGGAAATTGAAGCACAATGAAAATTGAGCGGATCTAGAATTTTCTCGAGGAGAGGGGGCGGTTTTTCAAAAAATTTTGAAAATTTTGACGACCTTTTTTTTAGGTCGACCAAACTGATTTTCCGAGCTCTTCTAAAGCAGTAAAAAGACGCTTTTTTGGCCAAAATTTCTGCGCCGGAGGCAAATTTTTGAAAAAAAACGGGTCACAAAAGCCGTTTTTGGGCACTTTTTGGAAATTTTGACAAAAAAATGCTTTTTTTGGCGCGCGCTCCCCCTCAAAATTAGTATACTTTGGCGCCCAAGGCGCCTTTAGAAAAATTTTAGAGTCGGTCGACCAAAAATGGATTTCCTAAAAAGTACCAAAGGGGGACCCTTTGGGTCGGCAGGGGGTCGAATCCCTGAGGGAGGGGTGTCCGCCCCTCCCCCCCCTAAATCTGCAGAACAGAAAAAGTTGGGTCACATCGAAACAAGGCAAATTTTTTTTATTTTATCCCCTTAAAAACGTCAAATCTGAAGGATTGTTTTTATTACTTGCCTTACAACCAGCTAAATTTTTGTTCCTATGATGCCGTCGCTTCCGTTTTTAACACTTTTTTTACATGGTGAAGTTGTATGATTAGCTCGGAAACAGGCTAATCGTTTTCAATATGAGTATTTGACACCATCAAAATTTATCGGCGGTATCTGGTTTATGTTGCAACAAAACACACCAGGAAACAAACGTTTTTGACATTAACAAATTGTCGTTTTTTTGACAGAATGTTTTAACAATTTTGAGTCTTAGTGGATATTTTTGTATTGCTTTTTAGCAAAGGGGATTTATCCAGTCAAATTTCGAATAATCACCAGCAATTTTTTGTTTTCTGAAATCTATTGATAGCCAGTTCAAAACAAAAAGACGTTTAGCTTGCAACATAAAACTACGGTGCTTGAAGTCAAGCATTTGCAATTATTAAACAGAATTTCCAACTTTATTAGAATTTCTACCTTTCTTTAGGCTGGTACAGATAATTTATTTTTTTACTACTCGGGTTTTTTAAGACTATTTAAGGCAGAAAATCCGTTGAAAATGATTATTTTTGCTTTTGCTGCAGCAATTTTTGTAAAAACATGAGGTGTAAATTAAATTTTCTTCAGATGGGTTTAAGGAACTCTTTGGTTGACTAAGAAGATTTTTTTTCTACTTAACTAAAATCTGGGGTCTGCAGATAACATTCCAATTTGAATTAAGGCTGGCTAATTGATCAAAAATTGCATTAGTAGTGGCAATTGTTTTCACTTTGTGCTTGAAACTTGGAATTACATTTTGGGGATAGTAAAAGATTATCTACAAAACTTGGAAACTACTATTTAGAAAGAAACAAAATGAAAAATTTTTTGAAGCTCTTCAAAAGATTTATTGTTCCGACTTTCGGTTTGAAAGTAACGGAATATTTGTGCTCGGGGTGGGTTTTTTTTTCTTCAGACAAATTTCGACTTTTTAACTAGCCATTTTTGACGGAACTTTTTTTATATCATTCAAAAGATATTGTTGTCCTGAGCTTAAATTTGAAAAGATATTTCACCTGTGATCATTTTTCATAGAGTTATGAGGGTTTAAAGATTGCCATTTTGGTCATTTTGAGCAATTTGGGACAATTAACGCGCGATATAATTCGCGCTATTAACGCGTAAGCGGAGATTTATTCGTCTTATAAATCGTTCCAAATTGGTTAAACGAAGCTTATTTGCCATAATTGGTTTGTTACAAGGAACGAAATCTCTCTTTTTGTACTTTATATGGCGTGTGAGGGGATGATTTTCATAAAAAAATTCAAATTTAAAAAAAAAATCATTTTATTTTATTTCTTTTAATTTTTTTATGCTATTACTGCTGCTCCATAAACCTTAAAAGGCAGTCGGAACATTCAGGGCTTCGCCCTGATACGAGCAGTCTTGTTAGTTTTATTCAGGAAAATTAATTTTAACTCGTTAAAAATGGCTGTCGACGAAATGAACTTTTGCCGTAATACGAGCAGTCTTGCTCAGGTTTCATGCTTTATATTTGGGTCAAAGTCAAATTCACGCCAAATTGATCTACGCGCATGTATCAATTGTTTGAAGTGTCTCTTACCCATTTGACAGTAGCGGACACTTTCAAACACTCTCAAAAATGGACACGTTTCCCAAAACAGGGTCATTTTTTGATACTATTTCACTTAAATTTGACCTTCGTAGAGTTGTATTAAAAATGCTCAGTTTATCAAAACAATATTCATTGAAACACTCGCGTAATTTCATTAACTACATGTGAGTGTTTTAAGAAATACATTAATTTTCCCATTATTTGGAACAGTTGCTTTTGTTTAGAGGAAGAGGCGACAGGGTACAACTTGTGCAGTGTGATTCTGATCGGACTGTCCTATGCTCTGGTGGTCTTGACCTTTCCCATCACCATCTTCTTCTGCATCCGAATTGTGAAGGAGTACGAGCGAGCAGTCATCTACAGACTGGGGAGACTAGAGGGCAAAAGGGCATTCGGACCCGGCATGTTCTTCATCCTCCCATGCACTGACACATGCACTGTCATCGACCTCCGAACTGTAAGATCTTTCGTGACTCACCACTGATAATATATATAGACCATTCATTCTCGAGTAAAAGGACAAAAAGGCGAACTATGCCGCTCTGAACGGAAAGAGCCGCTTTTATATTCATGTTCAAGCAGCAAACTCATTTTTGTTTATTTCTGGTATTAGAAATGTCGCCACACCATTAAATAAGACAACGAGCACGAATCATGATGGTCCTCGATCACAAAAAGTTACGAACAAAAAATATAAAACAAAAATATGTTTTTTTTTCGAAAGCCTAGCAAAGGTTGATTTGCTAACATTAATCGAAAAAAAAACAAGGAAAAAACCAGGGGCGGATCTAGGATTTTCTCGAGGGGGGGGCGGATTTTCAAAAACAATTCGAAAACTTTGACGACCTTTTTTTTAGGTCGACCAAATTGATTTTTCGAGCTCTCCCAAAGCACTGTTTTGCCCCTATTTTGGCAAAACAGTCAAAAGGCGATTTTGGGCACTTTTTGAAAAATTTTAACAAAAAAATCGCGTTTTTTTGGCGCGCGCTCCCCCTCAAAGTTGGTATATATTGGCGCAGCAGGCGCCTTTAGAAAAATTTTAGGGTCGGTCGGCCAAAAATGGATTTCTGAAAAATTATCAAAGGGGGGACCCTTTGGGTCGGCAGGGGGTCGAATCCCTGAAGGGGGGGGGCGTCCGCCGCCCCCCCCCCCCCCGCCCCTCCTAAATCCGCCCCTGGAAAAAACATGAAATAATTCAAAACAACTTACAATTTTTTTTTCAATTTTTTGCAGATTTTTTTTTCAGTTTGTCTAGGATTTTTTGTTGTTGTCATGAACACGCCAAAAGTTGCTTCAAAAACTAATAATCCTGGAAAAAAATTTATATCCCAAATATAGACCTGCTCGATTGCTTTTTTGCTGAAAGTTAGACCAAAAACCAAAATATTCGGATTTGTTTCTACACTGAGGAACTTTTTTTGAAAGTCTTTAAATAAAATTTGAATCTCGAGCGAGGGCTTTTGAATGACGTTTTGTTTGCGCATTCCACTTACATATATACTAGCGTTTATTTACCAGGGGGAGGGGGAAGTAGTTGAACAAGATCTACAAAATGTTTCCCTTTCTGAAATACTCACAATTTGTTTCGTTCAGTTTTTTTTTCTTTCTTCAGAGCAGCCAGTGTTGGCTGATTTAAATCAATTGATTTAAATCAACAGTAAAAATCCGATTTAAATCAAGATTTAAATCAAAGCCTTTATGGTTGATTTATTTCTAGTGTAAATTGAAATTTTGTATTTCTCGTTTTTATATTAGTTGGGTACATTCCAAGGAGCGCAATCGCCTAGGAGTGGAAAAATCAGCAAAGCTGGTTTTCGTTTTGAAAACCCTAAACATGTCCCGATGATTGTGAAGTATTATATTATGCTTTCAAAGTGTATCATCTGCAATTATGAAATGTTGTGCAGTTAAAATGTTCTCCAGCTTATACTGTAGGTGACTTTACACTGTAGGTGACTTTACACTGTAGGTGACTTTGATTTAAATCAAAAAAATCCGATTTAAATCAAAAAAATCCGATTTTTTGATTTTTTAAATAAAAATCCGATTTTTTTCCAACACTGAGAGCAGCGCACTAAAACCTCAAAAGCTGAAAATACGTTATGCTCATTCATAGATCAAAGGCTGACAATACGTTTTGTTCAGTCCAAATCTCAAATGCTGACATTATTTCCTTCCAATTTACAGTTTAACATTTGTTGCATGTCAATCCGTTCCCTTCCGTTCTCCCAAGTACCAAAGAAATGAATTCGCTTAAATGGGTTTTCGTTGATTGCGTTTCCAAATGGATCTCGAAATTTTGCTTGCTGAGAATCTTCCCAAATATAATATTAAGAGGTGACATCCACCGATTTAGTTAACAATGTTTTAAGATTCTAACGGTTAAGTCCTTGCTTTGAAATTCCGCATTTCTAGGTAATTAGTCTAGCTCTAGTTATTAATTGCTCATATGCAACAACTAGTTAATTCAATAATAATAAAGTTGCGGAATTCACTTATATTTCGCGGAATCCGCTTACTGTTGCGGAATCCAAAACAACTAGCTATATTTGCGGGTTGCGGAATCCGCGAAAAAAAAACGTGCCGAAATAACTAATGTTAGAGGTATTTGTACGCGGAATCCATGAAAGTTTTGTAAGTGGAACCTTCTTACTTGTTGTATAAAAATTTGCTAAACGAAAAAAAATCAAAAAATCCTAAATTCATAAAGGCTTTTTGTGTATATTATTTTTTCTGTGCAGGTATGTCTGAATCTGCCCAGACAGGAGATCCTTTCCAAAGACAGTGTGTCAGTGGCAGTAGATGCAGTCGTCTACTTCAAGGTCAGTTCAATTCAAATATGAAAACAAAAACAATTATTACTTCAAAGTCACTTCAAATAAGATTCTTTTTGATCTGAAAAATACTTCTAGTATTTCAATTAACTGCATAGTAACGAGGAGTCCTGAAAACGAACAAAATTGTATATATGGTGATCAATTGTTAAATTTAACCAAGTGTTAATTAAACAGAAATTGGTGAAAGTATATATTGGAAACAATGTAAGTATTAACTATTTGTGCAATCTAGATTAAAGAAGTATATAATCTTCAGAAAAACTTAGGGTTGGTCTGCTTAAAATAAAGATGTCTTAAAGAAGTAACAAAAAGTCACCCCTTGCAAAAATTTGGCAGCCGGAATGTATGTGGTGGTGGCAGGCAACTGGGGGGATAGGGGGTTCTAAAATCTGTGGTACAACTATATTTGTTGGTTGTCCCAACAAATCCAGCTTCCCATATTATCTTTTCATATTATAGTCACCCGATTTTGCTGAAATGCAATGAATGTAGAAGATGCTCTTCCTACGCCTCGAAAAATGCATGAAATCTCTATGATTAGTTTTTTATAATACTGAACTATTTTTTTCCATAGAACTACTTCAATAAGTTGTGCTATGAAAACACTTTTCTTCTACGGACGTCGGCTCACCGGGTTGAGATCCGCGAACTTCTTTTGGACTTTCAAAGTCGGGCCGATGCTAATTCTACGACCAAAAGTTCATAGTCTGGACTGGTTTTTATAGTCGCGGACGAAGTCTGAAAATATCGAATTGGCATGATCACATGTAGATAGTTTGGCTCTTTTTCCTCCCCCCCCCCACCAGTGAAATTTTACTAGTACACTTACTGTTCACATTATCCAATTGTCACAAAAAATGGTGGAGGGGTAAGAGCCGATAGTTTATCAGATTCTGTTAACTACTGTTCAAGGTCGAAGACCCTGTGGCGTCTGTAAACAATGTTAGTGATGCGCGTGGCAGCACCAAACTCCTGGCGGAGACCACTCTTCGCAACACTCTGGGCACCCACACTTTGGGGGAGATTCTGAGTCAGAGGGAGTCCCTCACCCAACACACTCTGCACATAGTGGACCAGGCCACACACCCATGGGGAATAAAGGTCACACATTATTCAAATTACCCATAGCCCAGGGGCGGATTCGATCCCCTGCCGACGCAAAGGTCGGCAGGCGGTCGAAATCCCTTTTTTGGATGAGGGAAACTAAAAATTTTCTAAAGGCGCCTTTGGCGCCGATATATACTAATTTTTAGGGGGGAGCTCGCGCCGAAAAAAAACACAATTTTTTGGTTGAAATTTTCCAAAAAAGTGCCCGAAAACGTCATTTTTGACGTGTTTCTTAAAAAATTTGCCTGTGGCGCAAAGTTTTTTTGTCTAAATAGGGTCTTAAAAGTGTTCTGGGAGCGCTTTAAAAATCATTTTGATCGACCTAAAAAAGATCGACAAAATTTTCGAAAATTTTTTGAAAATCCGCTACCCCACCCTCCCCCCTAGAGAAAAACCTAGATAAACCCCTACCATAGCCCATACATTATGAGTCATTGCAAGGGCAGATGTAGGATTTCTCGAAAGGGGCGGATTTTCAAATAAATCTTCGAAATTTTTGTTGACCTTTTTTGTGTCGACTGTCGACCAAATTGATTTTTCGAGCACTCCCAGAACACTAGCAGGCAAATTAAAAAAAATAGGTCAAAAAAGGCACTTTTGGGCGCGCGTTTTGGAAAGATTCGACCAAAAAATTCGTTCCCTTTCAAAAATAGAATTTATGGGCGCCAAAGGCGCCTTAAGAAAAATTTTAAGTTTGGTCGGCCTAAATGTCATAAATCAAAATTTTAGATCCTTTGGTTGGTGAGGGGGTCGAATCCTATGGGGATTTGAAAAATGAAAAATTTCAAAACGGAACACTTAGATAAGTCCGGAAGCTCAACATTTGGTAAAATTTGACGACAAGTGACAAGGTCATAAAGTTTTATGAGAAATCGCAAAAGTCTTATTAAGAAGCAATGTCAGTTCGTGATTTTTCTCTATATTGATAGTTTAGCAAATACTGATTTGTTTTTTTTTCTCCAGGTGGAAAGGGTTGAGATCAAGGACGTGTTGCTGCCCCAGTCCATGCAGAGATCTATGGCTGCGGAGGCGGAGTCGGCCAGGGAGGCGAGAGCCAAGGCACGTGAACAGACCAATCAAATTAATATCACACTTAGAACGTATATTGCATATTTCTATCCAGAAAGTATATAACATATAATTCTATCCAGTATGGCGTTTGGACTCAAAATTAATTTGCAATGCCAATTGCGGGCCATTCTTTATTCTTGCTATTATACGGCCGGGTCTGTAAAAATATGATAGCGAAACCTCGAGTTGTTTGAAAACCTAGAAGGAAAAATAAACTTTTAAAATATTTTTTCCTGTCTTTTACTCATTTTCGAAAAGTTTTTTTTTGAACTTAAACACAGAAAATGTCATACTGAGCCTCAGTATTCATACTAAGATTGGAAAAACGACCCAAAAAAAATTCTCTATTGACCTTCAAATTTTTAGGAGTGCTGAGTTGTTTCTTCCGATTGTTATTTTTAGCTGATGAAAAATTCTGCCCTCCCGAAAAAATGCTTATTTTTATTATCTTTTTTTTGCAAATGTAGTATCATTTAGGTTTTTTAGAAAAAAAACAATTTTTAATAGTACTTTTGGTTCCGACTGTCGAAGAAAGTGCGGAATATTTATGCTTGTTGGAATACTTTTAACACCGTTGTGACCTTTGCGAACTTCGTGAATGTTTTCCAGGTGATAGCGGCGGAGGGCGAACAGCAGGCGTCCAGGGCCCTGAAGGAGGCGGCTGACGTCATCAATGAGTCACCAGCAGCTCTGCAGCTGAGATATCTGCAGACTCTGAACACCATCAGTGCAGAGAAGAACTCCACCATTGTGTTCCCAATCCCAATCGAGATGTTCAAAGGATTCGCAAACAGCGCCCAGAAATGAGAAATGATGATCAAAAACAATATAAAGAAATGACTCGGAACATTCAATAAAGAGTGAAGATAAAACAACTGTTTCATATTGTAGACACTTCCGTCTGTTAATTATAGCCCCCACCCATATGAGACTTAAATTTTACTGTGGCGTTTCCTATATATATTTTATTCGGCTTGGGGGCTATAATAAGAACAAACCAAAAGCGGACGTTTGTTAGTATATTTGAAGGCGACGTTTTTACTTTTTTTAGATACTGGTAAAAGAAAGAAAGTAAATACCGTATGCAAATATTTTAGCTACAATTCAATTAATTCGGTTGTCATTATCTTTTGTTAGAAAAAATTTTAGCTAGAAAAAACCAGAGCGAGAACTGAATCCGCTTATTTTTAACCGGGTTGATGTGGCACCGCAAATCTGTTCTCAGTCAACTATTTTACTGCAGAATTTAGAAACACAGAACTGCAACATGTAGAATTGCTGATTCTACTGTAAATTAGACTAAGTGCAAAGTCGCCAGGACAGCATCACTTTTGGTTTATAGATGCTTAAAATTGTACGCTACGATAGTTTATAAGCTCATTAGAGAGATTTTTAGCCTAAGGTGAACGAATCGGGACCATCAAAGTTTGAAAAAAGTTCAGGTTTTTTTTTCATTATGGATACTTTGTAAAAATCTAAGTTTAAATTTTTTATATACATTTAGCAAAACCGCCGACCAATATAGGTCCCTACATAGCACTATTAAGGAGCTGCGAGATGTCGGTCCACAAGGAGGTAACAACTTCCCGAGATCTCGAAAGTCCACCTGTTGCCCAAACATTAACATGGGCTACTGAAAAAATGAGGAACCCCCGACAACACAGAAGTCGAATCTGAAAAGCTTTGATATCATCATCTTCTAGGGCTCTAATAGTGAGACTGCAACATATTGGTCCAATAGGAGTTAGCAAATTCGGGAGGTCTCGAATAAAATACCCGTTGTCCATGTATTAAAATATGGGTATAAAACTATCACGTCTCCGGTTAAAACAGTGAACGGATTTCAAAAACTTTGACGCCAATCGTCCTTATGACTCTGTTAAGAAACACATGCAACCTTAATGGACCAGGAGATAAGCACTTTCAGATTTCTAGCGCTGACAAATGCCCTAAGTTATAGTCCTCATCTCGAAGTCATTTCTCGTTCTCCACTGAGCAAATGTCAACAAAACTTTGGGATATGATAGATACTGGCAGGAGGTGTCGGATGTCATTGTTTAGCCAAACTTGACGGTTGAGCCGGAAGTTACCAGCAATTGGAAAAAAAATCCCTTTGATCGGAAGTGGGCAAATTAAGCAAAATAAAGAGCGAGGGCATATTGAGTTTATGCCTGTAATAGACACTTAAACACAACCCCGAACAAGTAGTTCCTATGACTTGATTTCCTCCGACGACTCCTTCCGGTATAAATAGCCACTTTGCGGGAAATAAGATTAAAAAAACCTTAGAAATGGGATGAATTGGGAGGTGGTATATGAATAAAACTTTGTAGGTTCGGCCTCCTAGAATTCTGAACCCGAACATGCAAGATTGACCCAGGGTCACCACAAGGTGACCTTTTCAATGACTTGTAGTCGTTTTTGACCAAAATTACAAAGAACAGCTTTCGCATGGTAACAGTGAAGTAGTGGAACTAATTAAAGTGGACTCGGCAAACACTCAGTTCAGCTTAGCTTGGCAAATGAGCAGTTAATAGAAACAAAATAGAATGAAGAAAAGTATCCAAGAAAAAATTGGCAGTAATATGAGCATGGCATAGCAATTAGGTCTTCCTAATAACGTGCATGAATAGAATCTTCACTCAGCTTTCCGGAGTTGGCTCCTGACACAGTTTCACCCCTAATAAGCTAATTACGGTCCTCTTACAGCTAGAAGGTCAGGATTGGAATAGTGTATAGATGGAGTTTTAAGTTACTTGATTTCACAAATGTATCATTAAAAGAGTGTTTTATTACCCCGCGAGGTCGGAACGTTAACTTGATGTTCAATTAAAAACTCTGGGAGACTGGTTAATTAAACATAGCTTGGTTGTATGTTTGGTTGAAAATGGACTTAATATTTGTACAACTTAGTTGAATATATCTATGGTGATCTTGGCATTCATAACTAGTGTTGTCAGGGGAAAATTTCCGGTAAAAATTTTGTGAATGAGGTACAGAGTAAATGTCTGGACTCGTAGGGACGATCGTAACTATAACAAAAACTTAAGCAGACACACATAGTGAAAAGGTCACAGGTAGGCTATCCTCAGGGAAACAATTGTTCTATGAGAACATACGGTTGGTTCTCAGCTAGTTAGAGAACACTTGATACTGAGTTATAGTATAATTGGATCTCAATTATTTAGAGAACCATCAATGGAGCTGAGAAATTGCAAATTAGAAGGTAGTCGGCTCTCAACACGAGAACAATAATTCTTGAAGATAGTGAGATCAGTTAAAATACCTCAAAGGAAAAGTGATCTGTAGAGGCACTATTAATTTAGCAGGTCGAAATGAGAAGTTGTGTGGAGTTAGGGTTTGTAATTGATTATTGGGGTTCTCTAGAGCGAGAGAGGGAGAGAATCATTTAGCTAAGTTAGTTGGAAAATGTATCACTGTTATGTCTTTGTGCTGATAAATTGCGGACCCTTTCCTCTGATTACATTATCAGATTTGTTTCTGACCACTTAGAGTTTACTGTATTAGGACTTATTTTTTTCAAATTTAATTATCGTTGTTAATTCTTGCGATCATATCGAGCGGACGAGACAGCCGTAAGGGCAGTACAAAAAAGGAGCAAGCTACTTAATACAGTTCAGATTAGTTGCCTCCAACTTAACATTTTCGGGATTGTGGATAAGAGTAAATCTCGGTCGTCCCACTGATCTTACCACCCAAGGCAACACTTTGTAGTGTCAGTAAAAGAGAGAGAGAGAGAGAGAGAGAGTGAGGGAGACAGAACGAACCTAGAGAAGCAATCCCCTTGAAATCTACTTAGCATACTTTAAAATAATTCTGGTTCAAATATGTTTCAGGAATCAATGATACAGCAGCGTGCCAAGGGGTGGGCAGGGGTTCCGCAAAATATATGTCCATATAACGGGTTTTCCGCCCTTCATGATGCTATAATCGTCATAAACCTTTCTAAGAAAAGAGTAGCCTCAAGGTGATGTGGAGTCATGCTTTTTCGAAGCGATCCAAGTGTAAGTTTTGCTCTGCTGAAAAGTAGCTCACAACTGTTTGATGTACCGGGAATCCACTCCATAGGCAAATAAAATTTCTGTTTGTACGTTTTCAAGCAGAATTTCTTCAACAAAATCTAGTTTTTGACTTTTTGGCGGTGGTTTCTCTAGCACCGGACGTTCTAAACTTCGAACTGATGTTTTTACACCAGATGTCAGGTTCAAAAATTTTCCTTCGATGCATTTCACGATTGCATTTTCGAAATCCGAAGACTGTACAATAGCAGCGTTCGATAAATAATGCTCCATCGAGGAAAAAACGCGAATAAGACCATCCAGATTGTACCGAAGTTGTGCCAATGACAGTCCAGTTTCAACTTGAAAAACGGTTGTGACTCTATTGATTTTATCAAGGTTTTGGTACAAAACTTCGAGTTCTTGTTTTTCTTCATCGTTCAGTAGTAGAGGCATAATATCGAGATCACTAGTTGGGAAAAATTTTTTGTATTTTTTGATAATGTTTAACCATTTCGAAAGTCGATTACCACCTTGTATCATTTCTGATTATAGTGCCCAACTGTGTTTTTTTCTTCAGCTCGCCATTTCTTTTAATTGACCTCATTTTGACCATTGCTGCTTGAATTTTTGTAATAATGCTCTCTTTAGTTTCAAGGAAGACTTCTGCGGCCAAGTTAAAATTGTGGCTTGCCGATCCGATCATTGGAACTTTCAAAAGTTTTGAGAGTGTTTTCATGACAGATGCGTTGTCACAAACAATACCCATTACGTTCGAAACAATTTTACCAAACTAATTCTCCAGCATCGAAACAGTAAACTCAAAGTGATTTTTAGCGTCGAGGCGTTCTTTGTCAAGCAGCGGTGATAAAGCCAAAAGATACGTTTTTTGATTGCCTGAAGTTTTGTCGTAAAAAGACGAAGTAATGATGGACGAAGTGTCCGAGCATGTGGGAATGATCTACCCCAAGATTACTGACTCTCGACATGAGGTTCAACCAGTCGACGACTTCCTCTTTCCTGTAGATATCAGCCCAAAACCCCATCAGAGTAGATGAAAACGAGGGCTTCTCAGAAACAATTGCCTCTCAAGCTCCACAACAACCATTACAACCTCGTCCAGCTCTGCGTTCTATAATGAACCTCCAGAACTCTCGACAGTTCTTTGATCAAACTTTTTAAACTAGTTGTTATTTGATTTTTACTTCGTTCTTTGTAGTTTTTAATTTCTTCAATTTGATTCTGATTATGAGAGTAGATAGAAGTTCAGGGTAAATTATTGAAAAAAAAATTAGAATACAACCTAATTTAGCGCTTCGATTTCACACACATATCAAGAATCTCGATTAATTTTTGCACACGTAGCAGAAAAAACAAAAAAATTCTACTCAAGTAATAAATACCTGATCGTTCTTTGCAACTTTTCAAAACATCTCAATTTTTTTTTCGCATTTTGTTGAAAAAATGAAACATTTTTGGGGTTTTGTAGAAAAAATAGAGAAAAATTTTTCGCTTTTTGTCGAAAAAAATGGAACACTTTACGCATCTTGTCAAAACAATTGAAGCACTTTTCGCATCTTGTCAGAAAAAGTGAAACAGTTTTTATATATTGTCAAAATTTTGAAAAATATTCACATCCTATCGAAAAAAGTAAAACACAATTCGAATCTTGTCAAAAAAACTGAAACATTTTTCGCATCTTGTCATAAAAATTGAAACACGTTTTTTCTGTTACTTTCTCCAAATTACACACAAGCGAATGAGCGCTGAAGTCTTGCAAGTTTGTGTTCTGACGTGTCAACTCGTTTTCGCAAAAATTGAATGGATGATTCCACTTGTAAATTGTCATTCCTTTTTTACTGACCTCTGTTGAATGCAGTTTCATCTGTCTGCTTTTCGATGCTTGATTTTCTTTATAATCTTGACAGCTGTTTCAATATGGCTCATCAGGTTTGTAACACCTTTATTTGCAGCTTGTTTGCGTTTAACAACACAGGAACATTGAAATTCATCGCCCTGTAAATGTTTGAAAAACAAATCAGCAATTTCTTGGTTGGAACCAGGCATTATCTGAAGAACAATTA